CTGACGAAGCTGGCGCCCTGCTGCACCGACGGCCTCACAAACTTGGCCAGCTGGAGCCTGGCGGCCGCCGCGGGCCTCCCCTCTCCTGCCGCCTCGGCCCTGGGCTGGGGGCTGGGCTTCACCTCTGGGCACGCGATGGGCCAGGGGTCAAAGGTGACGAGGCCGCTTACCTGCCGCCCAGAGCGCGTCCAGGGCATCACGCAGCTTGCGCTTAGCCTCCTCCCGCTGCTCAGGGGTCGCTTCACGGAGGGCTGCTGAAGCTGCAGCGAACTCCTCGTGCTTCTCTTCCCAGCCTTCACCTCCGAGCAGCTCCATGTCGACGTCGTCTGATTCTGGCACAGGCTGGTGCTCCCCGCCCGCGTCAGTCTCCCCAGCAGCAGGACCAGGAGGAGCAGCAGCGGCCCTGGCCGAGGCAGCTGCCTTCTTGCTGTCGCTGGCCGCGGACTGCAAGCGGGCCAGGACCGCGAGGGCGTCCTTGGCCTCCTGGCAGGCGACGACGTCCTCATCCAGCCCTGCCGCCACTGCCAGGATCGGGTCGGGGAACTCGCTGGCCTGCAACTTGACCAACTTGGCCTCCCCCTCCGAGAGCTTCTGGTTTTCCTCGCTGAGGGCGACCCTGAGCTCCTGGAGCTCCTTGTCCAAAGCGGCCTGCTGCTCCACAATTGCTGCCTCTCGGGACTCGAGCTTCTTGATCTTGTCTCGCATGGCCTTGACCCGCCAGCGCTGCGTCTGGGCAGTTGGCTGCTTGCCCTCAAGCAGCTTCGACTCCGCCGCCTTCTCTGCCTCCTCGACCGCGCTGGTGTCCAGCCCTTCCTTCTCCAAGAAGGTGCGAACTCCCTTGAAGGAGATGCCTGCCCCCGCCTCGGGCGCCTTCCTGGTCGGGGGCTTGCGCCCCTTCCAGGGCCCCGACGGGGGCGGGGCCTCGCCCTTGAGCTCCGCCACCTGCTTCTGTAGCTGCTGCAGCTGCGCCGGAAGCTGACCTTGGCCTGGCGGGCCCTGCGCCCAGGCCCCGCGCGGGCGAGACGTGCTGGGAGCTGGCCCGTTGGCTGCTGCTGCCGAGAGCTTGGCTGCTTGCACCGCGTGGGTGGGAGCCGCCTTGCCGCACTGGCGGCAGCGCGTCCTGGACGCCCAGTTGCCATCCCGCCCGCAGGAGCAAGCCCAGAGGGGTGTCTTGCTCGCGCCTGGGATGATGCCAGGGTCCGAAAGTGCCGGCGCCATGGCCCACGGGCTGCCGCGGGTGGGGCCGTCGTCGTGAAAGATTGGCTCGTGCCCACTCCGCCGCTTCGAAGTAAGTGAGCACAAACGCGAGCTGAGACCAGCTCAAGAAACCAGCTCGCGCCGAAACGGCTACGGTGAGGGCGTTTTTATCTGTGTAGGCGCCGCGCGAGCACGGCGGTTTCATGCAGGCATTCTAGGGCCCCGCCACTGCTCAGCGCCCGATCTCCTCCACGAAGGCGGCGTAGAGCTCGGCGAGGTCGCGGGCGCGGGCGGCCGCAGCGCCCTGGGGGCCCTCGAGCTGCGGCCCGCCGCTCCCGCCTTCGGCCGCTAGCGGCAGCACTTCGCCATCGCCGTCGATGCCCTGCTGCCGCTGCGTGGGGCCCAGGCGGACGCCGTACTCTATCGAGTGGTCGCTCGCCGCCGTGGGAGCTGGCGGGGCCTGGTTGTCCTTGGGGAGGCGCCGCAGCTCGATCCCGATGCCGTGCATCTCGGGCCGCGTCCCCGCCTCCAGACAGCAAGTCCAGATGGTCACCACCTGCGTGGTCTCAGCCGCAGGGGGGCCCTCCGAGGCCTCCGCGCGCCGCGCCGCCAGCCGCCAGCCACGTGCGAATCCCTCTCCGAAGGCCCGCGCCTCCAGCTCGGGGTCGCCTGGCTGCCAGCAGCCTGGCGCCAGCCAGTTCGCGCCCAGGACGTCCTCGGGCGCTGCCTGGCGCAGCTCTCTCTCGTGCAGCATCCTCTGCACCTGCCGAGCCGCATGCCCCTGCTTCTGCGCGGCCCCCGCCTTGTCCTCGTGCACCTCCTCCGTCGCCGAGGGGTTGAGGAAGGGGGGCTTCCCGAGGCGCTCCTGCTTCTGCGCCTTCCTGAGCTCGTTCGCCGCCGCCCCTGCGATGCGCCCCTTGATGGCGCCCGCCTTGGCGTGCAGCGCGACGTTCCTCCTGAGCCGCGCCAGCCAGGAGGGCTGCTCGCCGTTGACCAGCGCGTCCAGCGCAGGCACCACCGCGGCGAGCCTGTCGGCCAGCTCAGCATCGCCCGTGAAGGCCTCCAGCGTCCTCTCGGCGAGGGCCAGCCGCTCCACGAGCTCCTCCACCCGCGCTCGGGCATGCCGCACGGCGGCGTCCGCCGCCGAGCGCGCCCGCCGCGCGGCCTCGCTGCGCTCCGCGCGTGAGCGTGGGGACCTGCGGGGGTCCCCTCCCGTCACCATCTCCTCAAGCAGCTGCTGCACCCGGACCGGCCATGAGCGGAGGCAGATGGCAACCAGGGGCTTGAGACCGGCTTGAGCCAAAATGGCTACGGTACGGTGAGGGCGTTGGATAAGAAACGATTGGATAAGGAACCCAGAGCCTGGAAGCCGGTTGAACCCCATCCGTGGAATAGCCATGGATATCACCGCCACCCTCATCAGATAAGGAATCCTTCAGGGTCTGAAGCCTCCTGGGCACATTCCTCAACCAACGCCCCCCGCCGCATCGGCGATGAATGGTCGATTGTCGGCTTTTTGATCTGCAGGGCGAGAGCGCACCTCTTCCGCTAAAAGCTAGGCGGGCTACGCACAGCTTTAATTAGGGAGACAGGGCACATGAAGGCGGGGCCTCGGGCGGCCAGAGACGGGCGAAGCCCGGGGATCAGGCGGTGCCGAAGGGGACGTGCAGGAGTCGGGTCGGGCGAAAGGGGGGGATAGCAAAGGGGGGGTTTGATAATCAGCTCACACAGCTGATTTTCCCGTCGCCTCCCGGCGCCGGGAGGTGGCCATGTATCGGGGAATGGCCCCCTCGGTGAGGCCGAAACCAGCTGCATGCAGCAAATTTCGTAACCCCCCCTTTCCCAATCCCCCCCTTTCGTCCGGCCCGAATGCACTGCTGACGGTCCGCGCGGGGCGCGAAAGGTTTGTGATTGTGTCGGCTGTCTCTTCTTCGAACTCCTACGTCCAGTGGAGATGGAGGGTCGATGAGTCCCCCCCCCCCTGAGCCTACCCCCTCCCCTAAGGGTAGGTCGTGCCTGTCCTCCGCCGGGCGGATTCTAGAAAGGGAAAAAGAGAGAACGGTCAAACCATATCCAAACACAGTCAAGACCAGTCGGAACATCGTCCCGAGAGTATTCTCTACTACTCTTGATTACCGGCCTGGAACAGATCCCTATCCCTACGCTGGGCATCGCCTCACCACGATGCCGCTCATAGGGCTTCCCTCGGTTTCCTGAGGGCGCATCCCCAAGATTGTCATCGCCTCTTGGCACGTCAATCTTAGGGACAGGGATACGTTCGAGGCTGGTGACTTGAATCCTTTCCGCTGCCCTTGAAGCTTCTCGGGGATGGACAGACCCCCCTTTAGTAAAACCTGGTCTAGAGAAAACGACCTGAGGCCCAAACCTGACGGGCGCAAGCCTGGAAAATAACGGCCACGGCGCCCTCTCGAGAACCGAAACGGACAACTCACTGATCGACGTGTCACTGTTGGGGGTTCCGTCCACCCCCCGGACCTCCCGCGCCAGCTGCTCGGCGCAGGCCTCGGCCCGCTCGGCGCGCTCGCCCGCGGCCCCCTCCAGGCTGGTGCCTCGAATCCTCTCCGCGGTTCTCTTGAGGCTTCCCCCTGCAGAGGGCCGTGCCCGACTTCCGAGCCTGCCCCCCCCCCCCCCGAACGCTGCCCCCGAGCCGGGCCCTCGCCGGCGGGGCGCGCCTCCTCTTCCAGCGCGCCCCTTTGAGGCGCCGGTCCGCGGGGCGCCCCCACGGGGGTGGAGTCGGGCCTGTCCCCCCCATACAGGGGGATTGTCGACGAAACATACTCCAGAAATGATATGGGGACTATTTTTGTAGCATTTTCTTGACCTTTTGGGGATATTTTGTAGGGCATGTGTTATTTCTCGTCGAAAATGACCCTGTAGGGGGACGCGCCCGACATGACACTGGGGGACCCTCGGGCGCCTCGGCCTGGCTCGGGCCCGCCAGCCCCAGGTCGGCGCGTGTCCTCCTACAGGGTGGTGTTGGACGAGGAAGAAGGTATAGTCCAGAAACATGTTCAAAAGCTGCCGAAACATCGTCAACTATGTTACAGTCGGGTGCTTGACCTAAGGAACCCAAAATAAGGAACGAGGCCCCTTTTTCCATAAGTTGAACATCGATTTCGTATCGAAAACCTAAGGAAAACCTAAGGCAAGCTGCGAAACAATTAAGGAACAAAATCGGACGCGAAGATCGGGACAAAATCGGATCGGGAGAACTCGAAATCTCTGAGAATCGGCGGGTTTGGAGGATGTGTTGGGCGCCGCGGCCGCTCCAGAGCGTTCCGGAACGCTCTGAGAGCGCTCCGGAACGCTCTGGAGCGATTCATCCCGATCCTAGCCTTGTGTTAGAGGAAGAAGGCACAGTCCAGAAACGGGTTCAAACGCTGCAGAACAATCGCCCTCATGCTAGGTTTTGACTGCCTTGGAATCTTCCTCCTCCTGCAGAGGGACACGCCCGACTTAGTGAAGGGCAACGATAGGGGGGGATAGGCATAGGGGGGGATGCATCGACCTGGAATCAGCGATACATCGTCGATAGATCGGCAATAGGACCCCGATAGTGAATCCGCACCTTCCTGGGCGGAGTGGGGCTATCGGGCCCCTATCGGCGATCAATGTGCGATTGGGAGTCGATGCATCCCCCCCTGTGCGCATCCCCCCCTATCGTTGCCCCTGACTTAGACGCCGGCCCCCAAAGGAGGCCGGCTGCCGAGCAGACGGGGGGGCCCTCTCCGAGCGGAGCTCCACATACGCGCGCCCGGCCCTCACCGATGCGCGCGCCCGGGCTACGCCGCGCCGCCGTGCTCCTGGATGAGGAGGTCCGCGGCCTGGGGCTGCCGATGGAGGCCTCTTTGACGAGTCAGGGGGGCGTAAGACCCGGGTACAGGAGACTCGGAAATCCCCGACGAGGTCGTCAGAAAAATGACGAGGCCGAGCCTGCATTTTGACGAGGCCTCCCGCTGCAGACATCCCACGAAACTCCTACTCGTCAAAATCCGAGTCGCGGTCGTCAAAAAACGATGGCGAACCCGAGTCCTGGCAAACCCGGGTCTTACGCTCCCCTGAACGAGGTCCGAGCAGATGGGGTCGGAGGATCGCGCCGGCGATGCATCGACGATGCAGCGGCGACGTCGCCAGTGCATCGGCGATGCGGCGCGATGCTCCGAGCCCATCCGCTCCGACCCCATGTGGGAGACCCAGAGCCGAGCAGATGCGATTCGCCAAGCGAGGCAAAACTTCCCCTCAGATCCGGTCGCTGAACTCTTTCACAGCGGACGACTTTGCGGGGCCACGGGGCCCTCCCGGATAGGTATGGCTTGAAAAACGCCTCAGGGAGATGAACTCCAGGGCAACAGCCCAACTTTTGCTACGACGTCACAACTTTTCCGCAACGTCGGATCTCATGGCCGGGCGCCCCGAGCGACAAACAAAGAGAACGACGGCCCGGGCCTCCAGAAGGCCCGCGTCGCGACCCAAGCCCACAACAAAGACGCCGCGGGCACAGGACCGGCGCCCGGGAGGGGGTCGCGAGTGCCATGCTGGGGCCCACGCATGCTGTGGCAGAGGATGCCTGGTGGCGTGTGCGGGGGAGGTGGCTCCTACACCTCGGCGAGGTCCGCATGGTGCGACGGTGTCGAGCGTCCCGGGGTCCTGCCCCCTATGAGCCCTGCCCAAACTTCGAGCAGGGGATCGACTGCAGAATAGACTTAACCCAGAACTGATTTCTTCATCGCATCCACGAAAAATGCGCAGTACGTTCGTAGATCTACGAACATTCTACGTATGACCCGACGAACAAATCAATTGTGGGGTAAATCGATTCTGTAGTCGATCCCCTACTCGACAACTGGCCGAAAGCTCGGCGAGCTCCTCCCGGAACGCTGGCTCCGGCATCGCCCAGGTGCAGGCGGCGGCAGGGGGTATGGCTGGGCTGCGCGCCCGCTTCGACGCAGGGACGAGCGCGGGGGCTGCGATCGCTACTGCGCGGCGCGGCGCTGCGCTAGCAGCAGTGCGTCGCTCAACGGACAGGGCGCCGCCAACTGCGTCTGAACTGGACTCGCGTGTGCCCTCCTCACACCGTGTGTCGCTGGGAATAGCCGTGATGGTTGCCCGAATAGCCACCTGGCAACACCGTTCTATTATTATGGCTTGTGCGCTCTCGCACTGCTACCTGAGATTCGCCCGCCTGGGGACCCTGCGGGGACAGGAAACGCGTCCCAACAACCCTTCCGACATATCACCTGGCTGGCGTGAAAACTTTCTGAGGCCATCCATGAATTGGCCAACCAGAGTTGCAACACACAGTTAAAAAAACGGTGGATTCGTCTTCCCTCCCGTCGGCTTCGGCAAGTTCGTGTCGTGACGACCATGGCGTCGGGATCGGACACCACGTGGATCGTTCAACCTTTTACGATCGGCGGATTTTCCATCGGCGGATCGTTCCATACTGGCCGATTCTGGGCCACAGGCGGCGTTCAACCTCGAAAGCCCACGCTGGGGACGCTGCCGCGTCGACACGACAAGAACCTACGGAACTCAACAAGGAAGCGCATTCGCATTACGGTGGCGAGGAGCTCAAGGGACGAGGGTTCAGATCTCCTGAGGACGTTTGCTGACCGCCTCTTCTCCTCGATGCGTGCCCCGATGGAGAAGGAGGCCCCTTCGCACCCGCTCCGCATCCCTCCCCCGTCCGCTGCCTCAACACGCGGTCGGGCTGTCTCCTGACCTCCAAGGTTCGGCTACACGCAGGAGCGACCCGGGGACCCTGGGTCAGAGCGACCTTTGGTGCGCGGCTTCTTTCGGGGGCCGCGGGGGGGCCACACCCGAGCGCGCAAGACGCTGGTATCGCATCGCGTTCGGCGATCGGGGGACCCCATCGGGCCTCGCACCAAACGTCACCCTGCCGAAGGGCCACTCCCACGTGCAGTCTACAAGTGCAGGGAAGGAGGAGGATGAGCGGCAGCAGGAGGACCCATGCGACTCATGTGTCACCTCCGCCCGGGTACTGCATCACCGCCACGTGTTGACACGGACCGCTCTCCAGACCTGGAGCTGTTGCAACATGCGAAAACGAATACGCGCGGCGCTGAGGAGAGAGCCACATTTCGAACACGTTGCAGAAGTCAAGCTTCAGGACCACACCTGGAACAACAACGCCTCGGGCGAAACGCCCGGCTCGCCCGGACGGCACGTCCAGGGGTGCGACAGGGAGGCATCATGCATAAGGGAAATGGACGACTGAGGCAGCGGGGGGGAGAGGAAGAACGATCCACACACGGCGAATTCAAACTTCAGGATCATGAATGGTAAACACTTCTCATCCCACTTGTCCGGCTTGCCCTACCGACACGTCCGGTGGTGCGACAGGGAGAAGTCATGTATAAGAGAAATGGACAATTGAGACAGAGGCGAGGGCGAGGAGGAGCGATCCCCAAACGCCCCCCTGCGACTGCACTGGAGGTGACTTCGTGCCGCTGCCATGCCAGACTCTCACCGGGCACTCCCCAAGCATGCGACGACATGACCTGTTCAATCGCAGCTCCCTGGAAGTTCCGGCCCTCTTCCGTGGGCTGCTTTTTCATTCCAAGTCGTTTCTTGATGGTCCTGAGGCCTGGCGAAGGCTGCCATTCAAAAACCTCCCGTCGCGTTTTCTTCACCACGCGAGCATGTTTGGCTCCTCACTCCTATGGCTCTGCGGTGCTCCTGACCCTATATCTGCACTGGAGATGACTTCATGCCGCTGTAATGCGATACTCTCATTGTGCACACTCCTCGAGTAACAACAAGAAGATAAACATAAACTATCGGAACTCAGTGTGGGTGCCCAAGACCCCCCCCCAAGCGCGGCGCGCACCAGGCGCGGCGCGCCCGCGAGGATCTATGAAAGTGCTTGTTCATGTCCCTCGAACTTATCACCTCTGTAAATATGCGGTGCTCCTGCCCCTATTCGTGGCATGTGCCTCCCTGAAAGAAGCTCACGGCGGGGCCTTCTCGCCGAGCGCAGTACACGTGGCCTGGGTGTTGCACCCCACGTGCGCGGGCATTGCCTCGCGGCCGCTGTTTTGATGAGCTCGTCTTTGCCCCTACCAGGGACCGGTGCGTCATGCAAGGAACATATGTGTTAGAAGAAGGATTAGCTCGACGTGACCCCGATTTGGGGAAGGCTTCACGAGTAAGAAACGAAGCAGGGGAGGTATTGATTTGCACGGAATTGCTCCGCTTGACATTGCGTTGCGTTGCGTGGCGTTGCTTGGCATTGCTTGGCATTGGCTTGCACGGCGCTACATTGCTTCGCATTGCATTGCATTGTTATGTCTTGCATTCCTGTGCTTGGCCTTGCGCTGCTTGGCATTGCTCGACGTTGCATGGCACTGCTTGGCGTTACTTGGCATTGATTGGAATTGCCTCGGATTGACTGGCATTGAATGGCATCGGTTGGCATGGATTGGATGTTCTTCGCATTGCTTGACATTGAACGGCATAGGTTTGGACGGATTGATCGGCACTGCCTGGCGTTGTATTGTTTGACAGGCCTTGGCGTTGCTTGGCATTGCTTTGCAATTGCTTGGCATGCTTGGTATTGATTTGCATTGCGTTGCATTGCGTGGTGTTGATATGCATAGCGTTGCGTCTGTTTTCTTGGCATTGCTTGGCATTGAATGGCATTGCCTTTCAATTGCGTGTCATTGTTTGGCATTGCGCGGCATACGCTGGCATGTATTATACTGGCATTCCTTAACGATTCATTGTTTGGCATTGGTTTAAATTGCCTGGCCATGTGTTGCATTGCTTGGCGTTGCTAGGCATTGCTGCGCATGAGCTAGCAATCGGAGATTCGAACAACTCGAGTAACCTGGGCGCCCGGGCAACCTGGGCAACCCGGGCAACGGGGCCACCGGGCAAGCAGGCGAATCCTGTCAACCAGTCATTGCATCCACCCTCCCCAGTGTCAGGGGCGGCTAAGAGGGGGGCGTCCAAGAGGGGCGGGGCGCAAATCATGGCCGGCGGCACGTGCGCGGCCCAAGGGGGGGCCAGGGACGTAATGCAACAAGAGGAGGCGCCGTGAAATCCGCCGACCCCTTGGGGATCATCGGCGTGTGAAATGCTTCCCCCTCCCCAAACCCCTCGCCCCGGAGCCCTGTCCGGTCGATTTGGAGGGGGGGGCCGTCTGGCCAAAACTCATCAGGGGGGTCCCGCCCTTCCCGGGCCCTTTTTGGAGGTCCGCGACAGCTTTTGGTGTCGCCCAACAGGCCCCCAAGACGGTCCACGAGGGCCCCGAGACGCCGAAAGATCGTTCCAAGACGCCTAACATAGGCCGAAAGATCGTTCCAAGACGCCCAACATGGGCCGAAGATGACCCAAGAGGCCGCCAAGGCGTTCCAAGAGGCCTCCCAGGAGGCCTCCAAGAGGTCAAAATCTTCAAATTACCGTAGGAAAGCGCACATTTCTGGCAAATTCCCAACCATCCTGTGGTGTTGGGTCCTCGTTTTGAAGAGACGGTGCCCCGCGTCCCCCTCCTCCTCCTCCTCCTCCTCCCCCCCCCTCCTCCCTCTTCCCATCGTCATCATCATCATCATCATCATCATCATCATCATCATCATCATCATCATCATCATCATCATCATCATCATCATCATCATCATCATCATCATCATCATCATCATCATCATCATCATCATCATCATCATCATCATCATCATCATCATCATCATCATCATCATCATCATCATCATCATCATCATCATCATCGATTTCGGCACACCCCTCACACGTTTCGTGGCCCCATAGGGAGCTCCACCGAAGGCCCCAGTGGCAGGTTCCGCATGCCTCCCCACCACCCATTTCGGCACACCCCTCACACGTTTCGTGGCCCCATAGGGAGCTCCACCGAAGGCCCCAGTGGCAGGGTTCGCATGCCTCCCCATTTGGGCACACCCCTCACACGTTTCGGCCCCATAGGGAGCTCCACCGAAGGCCCCAGTGGCAGGGTCCGCATGCCTCCCCACCACCCATTTCGGCACACCCCTCACACGTTTCGTGGCCCCATAGGGAGCTCCACCGAAGGCCCCAGTGGCAGGGTCCGCATGCCTCCCCACCACCCATTTCGGCACACCCCTCACACGTTTCGTGGCCCCATAGGGAGCTCCACCGAAGGCCCCAGTGGCAGGGTCCGCATGCCTCCCCACCACCCATTTCGGCACACCCCTCACACGTTTCGTGGCCCCATAGGGAGCTCCACCGAAGGCCCCAGTGGCAGGGTCCGCATGCCTCCCCACCACCCATTTCGGCACACCCCTCACACGTTTCGTGGCCCCATAGGGAGCTCCACCGAAGGCCCCAGTGGCAGGGTTCGCATGCCTCCCCACCACCCATTTCGGCACACCCCTCACACGTTTCGTGGCCCCATAGGGAGCTCCACCGAAGGCCCCAGTGGCAGGGTCCGCATGCCTCCCCACCACCCATTTCGGCACACCCCTCACACGTTTCGTGGCCCCATAGGGAGCTCCACCGAAGGCCCCAGTGGCCTGGTTCGTATGCCTCCCCAACACAATTTCGGCACATCCCTCACACGTTTCGTGGCCCCATGGGGGTTTCCACTGAAGGCCCCAGTGACTGGGTTCGCATGCGCCCCCACACCCATTTCGGCACACCCCTCACACGTTTCGTGGCACCATAGGGAGCTCCACCGAAGGCCCCAGTGGCTGCGTTCGCATGCCGCCCCCACACCAAGTTCGGCACACCCCTCACACGTTTCGTGGCCCCACAGGGAGCTCCACCGAAGGCCCCAGTGGCTGCGTTCGCATGCCGCCCCCACACCAACTTCGGTGCACCCCTCACACGTTTCGTGGCCCCATAAGGAGCTCCACCGAAGGCCCCAGTGGCAACGTTCGCATGCCGCCCCCACACCCATTTCGGCACACCCCTCAAACGGTTCGTGGCCCCATAGGGAGATCCACCGAAGACGGTACTCACACCAGCATTACTCACAACTGCATATGGTTGGGTCCTTCGCCAAGCTAATGCAATTTTTCGGCCTTCGCAGCGCGGAAGCTCTTCCAAGATGCCTCCAAGACCGCCCTAAGCCGGCCCCAGAGGCTCCCAAGAAACCCCCAACACGGCGCAAGAGGCGCCCAAAACTACGCAAAAGGGCTCCAAGACGGCCCCAAGAGGGCCCCGAAAGGGGGACCACGAAACGAACATGCCAGCCGTCCGCCCCTAGAGGCTCCCAGGAGGCCACAAGAGGCTCCAAAAAGGCGCCCAGACGCCCCCAAAGGCTCCCAAGAGGCCCCAGGAGGCCCCCCAGAGGCCTCCAAGAGGCCCCAAGGGGCCCCAAGAGGCCCCCAACAGGCTTCCCAAAAGACCCTAAGCACAAAGAGCGAAACATATATTTTCAGCAGGTTCGCCTTTTGACACCAGGAGGGCTCCAAGACGGCAAAACGACCACCAGGAGAGCTCCTAGACGGACAAAGAAACTCCCAGCCAGCTGGACGGAGAACCGGAACGGACACTTCGAACCTTCGACTCCAAGACGCCCCCAACGTGCCCCAGGGACCCCCAAAAAACTCCCCAACAATAGCAAAAGGGTCGGCGGTGTGGCGCAAGCCTAAAGAACCCACGTCCGGATTGCAGCGACTTTCAGCTCTCAGAGGACCATAAAATGCGCGGGAGCCCTGCCAAATCCGCCGCTCTTTTAAGAGCGCCAGGCTATAACATTTCTGGAACGCCACCAACATCGCCCAAAGTAGCCATGAAAGGCCGATAACCTCAACCTGCCCGGAGGCAGGTCGGGCAGCGGAGCGGAAACCCTAATGCAACGTATCCAATGCATCCACTGATTGCATAATTGCTACATATCGTATTGTGTTACATTATTATGTATCCCCCTTCGCCCCCCCCGAAGCCACCCCACATCCACCGACCCAGGGGTGGCGGACCTCTGCTGGACACATAATTATGTGTAAAAAAACATCGAAAATCAATGAGTTGGGCCTCCTGGGCCTCTGTCTCAGAGGCCGTGACGACGGCTCAAGATGGCCTCAGTACAAGCCAAGACAGCCCAAAGACGGCGCAACATGGCCCCAAGAAGACGCAAGAAGCGCTCAAGACGGCCCAAGACGGCCTCAATAGGACCCCCAAGAGCGCCCCCGGAGGCCAAAACCATCGATATGCCATAGGGGTTTTGAAGGGATTTAACGATCTCGCCTTTTTCGCCTCTCAGAAACCCATGACGGCCCAAGCAGCCTCCGAAATGCCCCCAAGACGGCCTAAGAAGCCTTCAAAAGGCCTCCACGACGGCCCAAGCGGCCCCTCGGACGGCCCAACTAAACTGGACCCCAATAAAGCCCCAAAACGGCCGCGAGGGACCCAGGACGGCCTCCGAATGGGCCACACGCCACAAAAACGCGCCAAGACGGCCCAAGACGCCCCCAAGAGGCCCCAGGAAGCCCCACCCAAGACACCTCCAAGAGGCCACAAATAAGCTCCCAAGAGGCCGCGCAACAACTGGACTGTACGTGGTCTGGACGTGCACCCCCGCGAAGCGAGAGGAATCCACGTCCGGACTGCAGCGACTTTCAGCTCTCAGAGGACCATGAGGGCCCAAGCAGCCTCCAGGAAGACTCCAAGACGGCCAAAGAGGCGCCCAACAGGGACCCGAGACGGCCAAAAGAAGCCCCCAAGATGGTCCAAGGGGCCCCCGACGCGGCCCAAGAGAACTCCAAGAGAGCCCTCAGGCGGCCGCGAGAGGCCTCCAAGATGGCCTCCAAAGGGGCCAGACGGCGCAAGAGCGCCCCAAGCCGGCGCAAGACGTCAACAAGCAGCCCCAAGAGGCCCAAAAGCGGCTCCAATGACGCTCCAAGAAGCCCCCACGAGGCTTTCAAGAGGCTCCCAATAGCCCCCCATAAGGCCGCCCAGAAGCCCTGGGGATTGCAGGACGGAGCGGCACGCACGCGCGGCAGCCGAGCAGGTCACGCCAACCAACGCCCACACTTCCACATTGGAGCACTTCCCCACAGCGGCGATTACCAGTCTGGATCGGCTGCGCGGCGCAAAATCTGTCCGCCAGCATCCGTGGCAGAGAAAGTCTGCTTTGTCACGCTGGGAGCTGTGCGCCGCTTCTCGCATAAACACTGCCGAGCATCGGGTGCTTTTGAAACCCCAGCACAGAGGCCCATGACGGCCCAAGCAGCTTCCAAAATGGCTCCCAGACGGCCCCAGAAGCACTCAAAAGGCCTCCATGACGGCCCAAGCGGGCCCTAATACGGCGCAACTCAAGAGGACCACAAGACAGCCCCAAAACGGCCGCGAGAGGCCACCAGACCGGCCTCCGAATGGGCCAAGCGCCGCAAGAGCGCCCCAAGACGGCCCAAGACGCCCCCAAGAGGCCCCAAAGAAGCCCAGTGCAGAAGAGGACCCAAGAAGCCCCCAAGACACCTCCGAGAGGCCAGAAAGAAGCTCCCAAGAGGCCTCGCAACGACTGGACTGTACGTGGTCTGGACGTGCACCCCGCGAAACGAGAGGAATCCACGTCCGGACTGCAGCGAAGCGTCTCGGCAGTCCGACAGGACGGGTGTGTGACGCCAGGGCCCGGCCACGATACGTAGAGGAAGGACACTTGCAAAACATTGCATCCTTATACGTTGCAAAGCAACCGCCCTTAATCCCCCCCCCAGGCCGCCGCCGGGGTGCAGACCCATTTCCACGTCTAATGCAAAAACTGTCCAAAACCTGAACGAAATTTATGATTTCGGCACCTTGGGCCTCCTGAGGGGCCAAGGCGGTCTCAAGACGGCTCAAGATGCTCTCAACACGGCTCAAGACGGCTCCAAGACGGCCCAAGATGGCCTCCGGAGGGCCTTAGAAGCCCCCATGATGGCCCAAGGGGGCTCCAAAAGGACGCTCAACAGCGCCTCCGGAGGCCAAACATATTGATTGTTGAATTGATTTTCGTTGATTGTTCGCGCTTGCGCCTTTTTCACTCTCGGGGAGCCATGGCGGCCCAAACTGCTTCCAAGGTGGCCCCAAAACGGCCCACGACACTCCCAAGAGGGCCTCTATACGGCCCGCGCCGGCCCCAAGATTGCCGCAAAAGGCCCCCAAGACGGCCCCAAAGGCCCCCCGAGAGCCCCCCAAGACGGCCTCCGCAGAGGCCAGACGGCGCAACAGCGCCCCGAGATAGCCCAAAAGGCGCTCAAGAAGCCCCAATAGGCCCCAAAGAAGGCCCAAAGAGGGCCTCAGAGGCGCCCAAGACGGCCCCAGTAGGCCCGACAAAGACTTTACTGCGCGTGCTCTGGCCGCGGAGCAGAACGACCCCGAGAGACCTCCACGGCGGGGCTCCAAGAAGCCCCCACCCAAGACACCTCCAAGAGGCCACAAAGAAGCTCCCAAGAGGCCCCGCAACGACTGGACTGTACGTGGTACGGACGTGCACCCCGCGAAGCGAGAGGAATCTGAGGAAACATCATGGCCCCCGCCATGGTACCCCCCCCCCAAGTCATCACCCCCCTCTTCGCCGCCCCCGGCAGTGGACATCGTGGCGGTCCCTTCTCGATCGTGCTGGAGACCGTGGAGCTCAACTCTGACGCGGAAGGCCCCAGGATAGTGAACGACTCCGCCGGGGAGCCACCGTGTCTGACGCGGCAGTCAAGATCAGGACGGCTCCTTCCTTTTCATCACGGGGCCCTCGTCCGAGGCTCAGAGCGCCTGCAATGGTTGCAGCAGGAGGGGGAGGAGGAGGAGGAGGAGGAACAGGAGGGGGAGCGGGAGGAGGAGGAGGAGGAGGATGAGGAGGAGGAACAGGACGAGAAGGAAGAGGAGGAGGAGGAGGAGGAGGAGGAGAAAAGATGAGGAGGAGGAGGAGGAGGAGGAGGAGGAGGAGGAGGAGGAGGAGGTGGAGGAGGAGGAGGGGAGGAGGAGGAGGAGAGAGGAGGAGGGGCCGCTGCCATCTCAAAGCGGGGCTGCCGCTGGGCTCTTCCTTGAGCTGCATGGCCCCTCATTGTCGCGTTCCTTGGAAGATGGGGTCAATTTTTCTCTTGAGTCTTTTCCTCGGTGGGCGAGGTTTCTCCTCCTCCTCCTCCTCCTCTTCCTCCCCCTCCTCCCGCTCCCCCTCCTCCTCCTCCCTCCTCCTCCTCCTCCCTCCCTCTCCCTCCCTCCCTCCCTCCCTCCCTCCCTCCTCCTCCTCCTCCCCCTCCTCCCGCGCCTGCGTTGCGGGGCCATGGGGCGCCCTTTCTTCCAAGGGTCCGCTTCGCGCGGCGAGCGAGACTGCTGGCAAGCAAACATGAAGAGGCGCCTTGGGCCGGGAGGGTGTATTGTAAACTCGTGGATATGTCTTCGACTTGCTTGGGTCCTCCCTCTCCCCTTCGTCCTCCTCCTCGCCCTCTTGCGCCCTTTGCGCTGCCGGGGCATTGGTCTCCTCCAGCAGTAAAGAGACCTGAAGTACCCGACTTTGGAGATGGGGCCTCCGCATCAAAATCAAGCACACACGTAGCAGCAAGCCCACAAAGCACAGTGGGCACTCAGACACACGTGTAGAAAAAGGAGCCGTGAAGAAACACGCAAGGGCACTTAGATGCAGTGTAAGCTGCCCTCATCCCCGACTTTCTCCGCCTAACCCCCCCCTCCGGGGATACGCATACCGCTACTCCACGGACTTCTCCCAGGGTGCGCTTTGACCAGAATTTCAAGGCGACTCCAGCTAGGGCGACGGGAGCCGCCCAAGAGGCCGAAAAATTGGAAAACAAGGGAAAGGTAGCGGTATCGGCTTCTCCTCCTCCTCCTCCTCCTCCTCCTCCTCCTCCTCCTCCTCTTCCTCCTCCTCCTCCTCCTCCTCCTCCTCCTCCTACCTCTCCTCCTCTTAGGCAAGACGCTGATCGCATCGCAGGCCCGAGAAGTCAGGCGGCGCTCGCAAAGCAGGCGCCGCAAGACGGTCGCCTGCTGCGTCGCCCCAGGGCGTGCAACCCGGCTGCAAGAGGAGCTCGGAGCCCAAGAGACAGACGCCCTCCCACCAACCCAGTCCCCTGCCCACTGCCCCCAAAATCCACTGTCCCATCCTCCTCCTCCTCCTCCTCCTCCTCCTCCTCCTCCAGTCATTCTCCTCCTTCCTCCTCCTCCTCCTCCTCCTCCTCCTCCTCCTCTTGCTCCTCCTATTCACTATTCCACTATTCCTCATTCTCTTCCTGCTGCTCCTCCTCCTCCTCCTCCTCCTCCTCCTCCTCCTCCTCCTCCTCCTCTTGCAGGCGTCGACATCAGCGCCGGAGGGCCGCTCGCCGAGGCGTCCGCGACGCGGAGCCCCGCGACGCCCCGCACGCGCATCGACGCGTCCAGCACCGCCAGCGGGTCGCCCGCGGGCCCGGCCCTGCAAGCCGCCGCCGCCACCACCGCTCGCCGTCGAGCCGCGGGTGACACGAGCAGGAAAAGACCAGCCTCGAACTTTGTCCTATCCCTGAGGTAGGCGGGCAAAGAGCGAGGACAATCCTGGGGATGTGCCCTCGGGCACTGAATGAATCCTTGGGATCGGTATCGAGGCAAGGTGGTGCCAAACCTAGGGATAGGGATATGTGTCAAACTGGTAAGTCGCGCCGCGGAAGGAACGAGCAGAAATAGTCAGCAGTGAATCGGAAAATCGGATCGAATCGGAATGAAAGACAAATCGGGCCGCATCGCCGATGCCGCGGACGACGACGACGACGACGACGACGACGACGACGACGACGACGACGACGACGACGACGACGACGACGACTGGCACGGAGTCGGAATCGAATTGGATTGGTCGCGCCAGGGTGCAGAGCAGCGCCATGCCATCGTATCGGGGTGCACCAGATCGACGGAAAAAAAACACAATCGGATCGGGCCGTCTGGCATCGATCTCGATCCAGATCGAGCTCGATCTCGATCCGAGCCGATCGGTCCGGATCGATCTCGATCTCGATTGTAAACCAAAATCAAAATCGATCTCGATCCAGATCGATCGGGTCGTGTAATGGATCCTGAAAGGCCCCAGGAGGAGGCCCTTATCACCGACGATGTCAGAGCGGGGGGGGCCGAACGGTCTTGCACCACCCCTGGGCGCGTGGGTGACACGGGATTCCGCGGCTCGGATTCTGCGTGTCTGTTGTCTGTTGTTCTTGAGGTCGAATTCCCAAATAATGATTGTTGCTGCCCCCCGGGATCGCACCCTGCTTCTTACTACAAGGCGACAATCTGGCGCGTCAGGCTGGGCCCCTGGCCCCCAAAACTACAACAGCAACGGCTCCTGCCCGATACAGTCCATCCGTACAAGAAAAACGCACGATAATTAGGTCGGGCACGTCCCCCTACAGGCGGATGATGGACGAAAAAAGAAAACATAGTTAAAACAATACACCAAACATGCTCTAGAATCATAAAAACAAATCCTCCCCCGACTATTGCTTGACTGTTCTTGGAGATCCTCCTGTAGAGGGACACGCCCGACTCAGCAGCACGAGAAGGACGCGCGATGAGGGATAAAGATGCCGAGGGTTGGACGCTCGAGGATCGAGGACTCGAGGCTCCATCCTCGACCGCCGGCCAGCGGCCGCGCGCACCGCGCGAGCCTGCCCTGCGGGTCGGAGCGGGCCCGGCGCGGGCGGCCGCCCGGAGGGAGGCGAAGACTCTGCAGAGGCGGAGGGCTCCTCGCCATCGCTCGGACGTCCGTTCCTGGTGCCGTTGTGGGCTGCGTGCACGCGCCCTCGTTCGCTGGATGCCCCAGGCTGCTCCCAGAGATGGTCTGGACTCTTCCTGGCGCTGGCTTCGCCGACGAAGCTAACATTAGGGGAACAAAAAGTAGCATAAACGTAAAAACTCCGAGGTCCGCGCGGATTTCTCGGATCCGCGCTGGACCCCCCTCCCTGGCGCGCGGAGCGCGCCAGGGGCGGCGCCGGCGGCGCCGCCAGGGGACTCCAGCGCGGATCCGTGAAATCCGCGCGGATTTCACGAGTTTTTATGTTTATGTGTTCATGCCATTTTTCGTTTCCCTAAACATGCACGAGCCCGAGCGAGGCCAAGCCTCTCCCTGGCCCCTGCCTCGTCGGCCACGCGTGCCGCTGCGCCGACAGCGGGCCAGGCGCACACTGGCGCGGCGGGCCGCGCGGGCGGGGAGAAGGGGAACAAAAACGATGCGCATCCTTTTCGTCCGTGGGGGATCTCCGCGTCCTGGCGGGCGCTCGATTGTCGCGCGCTGAAAGCGCGCTCTCCCTAGGGGAACAAAAAGTGGCATAAACATAAAAACTCTGAGGTCCGCGCGGATTTCTCGGATCCGCGCTGGACCCCCAGGGAGAGCGCGCTGCCAGCGCGCGACAATCGAGCGCCCGCCAGGACGCGGAGAGCCCTCACGGACGAAAAGGATGCGCATCGTTTATCCGACCCCTATCTCAATGGGCGTGGTCTGGGCCCAACTGGCCGACTTGCCCCCCTGGATGGGGATACAGGCAGTTGTCCTTCGGGCTTCGAGGAGTATATCCCCAACTGAGGTGGTGAGACGGTGGGGCTCGAGGTGTCGATGGGGACGGGGACAAGGATCGGCTAAACGATACTGGGCAAGGGCAACCCCAGGCGTCCGACGAGACGCGGCCAACCCGACAAGGCTGCCGAGGTGGACAGTGCTTTCGGTGCCTCGCCCCGGCCACAGCACACGGCTCGCGACACGGCCCTCGGCGCAGCACGGCGGCACACCGTACCGCGGGCGGCACCAAGCACGGCGCCCGGCCCGGCCAGGCTCGGGACAGCACCGCACGGCACGGCACGCGGCACACCACAGCAAGCTTAGGAGGCAACCTCGGGGAGGTCTTCGTCGGAAGGACTGAGGAGAAGTAAGCCCCATTGGGGGGCTGCTACGCAGGATTAGGCCGCGGATGAAGCGGGATTAAGCAGGATTAAACAGGATTAAGCTGTATTTCGGACCTGGGCAAAGCCTGAATTTGACCTCCCAGGGGTTGCATCCGAAGCGAGCATATCGAGTCCAGCGCGGCGACGAAGGAGGGACGAGGAATGAATCGGCCGAATCTCCCCCCTGGGCCGAGGGCCTCTGGAGTCCTCCTGCCAGGTCGACGTTGAACGAGGAGCCCAAAAAGCCGCCCGACAAATGGGAAGCCATGACTGCGGGTGCCAGTCCTTTCGCCAACTGATGCCTCGGTGACCACTTCACAAAGGGCAGCCCGTTCAGACGAATATTGTAATCAAAACGAGTGCGTATAATTACGCATGGTGTTGATGTAGATATTCTTGTCTGCGTGATGGGAGATTGGGTGGGGGGGCGATGGTGACCGACAACTTCCAAGGCATCGGGGCGCCAATAATCCAAGGTCACGACGCCACCCACGAGACCAACAAAGGCCTCCAGCAGGTCTCTCTCCAGCAGGTGGCGGTATTTGCCGAAAACCATTGACGATGCCCTTGATGCTCATAGTTTGTTGTTTGCGCTCTGTTGGTGTGATATGTCTGTATTGTACATTCCGTTCTAGAGGAAGCGCGCGATGGTGAAAACTGCCAGCTTCCCAACTGCTGGGAAGAAGACTCAGCCATGCAAGCATACCGCTGGCGGCGTAAACCACACCCATCAACAGACGCTGCGTCGACGGTGCCGCCCGCGGACCCCTCATTTCAATGTTGCGTTCGCGGCCGGTATCAGGGTGCAAGCAACGGCATAAAATCATCTTGCTTCGAGCGATCCCCGCCTTAAGCGTAAGCGTTTGTTCCCGACGGCGCGCGGTCGCCGAATTGGTCGACAACTGCCGTTTCTGGATTCAAAAACGACTCAACCGAGTTCCATGTAGTCCCGTTCCTTCATGTTCTGCTCTATTATGTCCTGTTCTGTTCTCGACATGCCAGCGTGAGTTCGTGACGCTTGTGACGTTAGATGCTTCGTCTGGTATGATGTCCCATTTCACTTGTATGTTGATCTTCTCATTGGGAATAGAATGCTATGCTCACCTCTGTCATCATATGGAATGAAATAGTATGATACGATAGACTTTGTGGCACCATTATGGTTCAGCATATAATATAGTATGATATGTTATGCTAGTGTGGTTCGCTATGTTTCGCTGTCGTTACATGATATGTTCTGTGATGCTGACATGGCATGATCTGATCGGTTCTGCCATGGTGTATTATGCTATGTTGTGGTATGTCGTCTTCTGTTGTGTCATGTTCTGCCTTGGTATGTGATGTGATGTTATGACGGCTCGGCCCTGTATGGTATATGGTGATCTACCCTGCAAGGCTGTATCGCTATGCTCTGCTGCCGTCGTATGATGGGTTCGGTGATGCGGCGTCATTCTATGATACATCCTGTCAAGGTGTTTTCTGTTATGCTCGGTTTGATATGGTGTGTCGTGTTCTGTCGTCGTCTGCTCTGTCATGTTCTGCTCTGGTATATTGTGTGATGTTATGTTATGCCTAATTGTGTCATCACATTGCTATGTTCTGTTCTGCCGTGGTCTGTCATGCTCGTGTTATGTTATGCCATGGTCTGCTGTGTAATGTTGTGTACGTTCGTGTTCGTCGTCGCTACAATATGCTGTCGTGTTACGGTCCTCTCTGGGAGGCCGTGTCATGATATGTTATGGAATGTAAGGGTGTGTTATATAATGGTCGGCTCTGTTCTGTCATGTTCTGCTGTGTCGTCTTCAATTATGGCATGTTCTGCTCTGGTGTGTTCTGTGATGGTTTGTTTGTTGACGGTCGGCTATGTATAGCTGCCGTGTTATGTTATGGTCTGCAATGTCGTGCCATCATATGAGTTCTTGTGTCCAGGTGCGGTATTGTATGCTCGGTTCTGTTATGGTATGCTGTGGTCTGTCCTCGCCTGATATGTACTTTTCTGATATGGTCTGTTCTGTGATGGTCCGTTATGCCCTAAGTTGTGATGGCATTGCTATGTTCTGCAGTGTCCTGTCGTGATCGTATTGTGTTCTGGCATGTTCTGTTGTGTCATGTCGTGTTCTGACGTATTCGTCGTCGCTGTGCTCTGCTGTCGTGTTTCGACCCTCCCTGTCACGCTAAGCCATGCTATGACCTGTTCTGTCAAGGTGTGCTATGGCATGCTCAGCTCTGGTCTGTTGTGTTGCGTTATGTCGTCTTCTGTTCTGGCAGAGTCTGTTCAGGTATGTCAGTTGATGTTATGTTGTTTTGACGGCTCGGTTCTGCATAGTATGTGATGTTCTGCTCTGCTAGTCTGTGTCGCTGTGCTCTGCTGTCGCGTCATGATGTGTTATGCGACGCGGTGTCATGGTATGGTATGTTCTGTCACGGTGTGTTCTGGTATGCTCAGTGTTGTTCTGGTGTGTTGTGTTCTGTCGTCTTCTGTTCTGTCATGTTCTGTCATGCCCTAGTTGTCATGTAGCTGCTTCGTTATATAATGCCATGTTATGTCATGCTGGCGTTCTGCAATGCCATGATATGATGTGTAATGTAGTGTTGTGTCGTGTTCGTCGTCGCTGTGCTCTTCTGTCGTGTTATAATATGTTCGGTGATGCTGTGTCATGATATGATAAGGTGTGTCAGGGTGTGTTATGTTATGCTCGCCTCTGTTCAAAAATGTTATGTTATGTAGTCTTTTGCTCTGTCAGATTCTGCTCTGGTATGGTATGTGATGTTCTGTGATTCTCTGCTTTTCCGTGATATTGATATGCTATGTTCTGTCATGTCATATCATGCTCTGCTCCGTTCTGACATGTTCTGTTATGTCATGTTGTGTTCTGTCGCTTTCGTCGAGGGCGCGAGGCGGGACACCTGGACTCTCGGGGATCATCGGGACAACTTGGGGTCTGGCGGCCGCGATATGCAAGGTGGGGATGGGCGGGGGCGAGGCGGGATACTCGGCACCACCGGGACAGCTTGGGGCCTGGCGGCCGCGGTGTGCAGTGCAGGGTGGGGTTGGCCGGAGGGCCTGTTATTGAAATCTAATGACCCCAACCTGTCGGGTGGGGAAACAACTTCCAAAACTCCACCGCCGAGGCAACCCCGTTTTCAACATTGACATTGGGGGGCACGGGGGTTCTGAGCACAGCAGCGTTGTTCATTATGCCTGGTGGGCGTTTTTACGCCCGTGGCGGTAGAGAAGGCGGTCGTGACCGAGCCCCGAGCAGTGCGAGGTGGTGGCCAGGCCCACCCCGTCGTGCGACCAAGAAGAGGCCCTGAACAGCAACGAGGGCAGGCAGGCGGGCGCAGGCGAGAGGACGCAGCAAAAACGGGAAGGCCGAGGGGCCAGGCAGAGAAACAGCAGCTGCCTAGCAGGGGCCACATGTGGCCCAGGACTTTTTGGTAGCTGTTTAGTAGCTCGATGGTCGCTGCTTAGTAGAGAAGCAGTGGCTGTTTAATAACTGTTCAGGAGGTGGCTGAGTGAATTTGGCACAGTTTGGGGTTGGGGCTCATTCCGCTCGGGAGCCAAGCCATTCCCCCACCCCTGGAGGAACGAGCCAAGCGAGTCAATAAACTCGGATGATCATGGATCCGGCGGGTCTGGAGGATGTATCGGGCGCCACGGCCGCTCCAGAGCGGTCCCAAACGATCCGAGAGCGTTCCACAACGTTCTGGGGCAATTTAGACTCTCCCTGGGCCTGCCTGGTCAGCACATGCAATGGTGTGGGAATCGACACATGTCTCGGCCATCGCCCCAGTGTACTCCCAGCAGTTCCAAACCATCGCCCCGGCAGGTGGCCACATGCAAGCCATACCCCCACCCCCCACGATTTCTGAGTGGGGGTGGGGGTTCACTCCGCTCGGGAGCTCCCGAACGAAGTGAACCTCCACCCCCCCCACCACCCCTGACGATTTCCAAGGGGGGGTGGAGGAGTTTACTCCGCTCGGGAGCTCCCGAACGAAGTGACCCCCCCTTAGAAATCGTGGGGGGTGGGGGTAGGGTTCACATGCGGCCACCGACTTAGGAAACCTCACCCTGGACTGCGTGGCCGTGAGAGACCACCAACTACGTCTGACTGGTGTGTTCATACGGCCGAAACATGAAGCCCTGAATGCAATAACATGTTCACTTCTTGGAAGGCTTCACCCGGCTTCCGCTGACCTTCCGCTGGCGGAAGCAAGCGAAGCCGCCGCCGTGTTATTCCGCCTGCTCTCGCCGAGAGCAGGAGTCGCCGAACGTGTAGCACATTCTGACCGACCCCAGAGATGTGAATCCACACTCTTTTGCCTCGCGGCCCTGCGCACGGCGACACGGCGTAATTATAAGGTTGGAAAACAACAGTTCGCGCGCGCGTCGATGTAAATACACGCATGGGCATCGCGTTCATCCATGCGTACATGCATGTGCGCCCGTTCGCTCTGGAAAGAAGCGCGATACACGGAGAACAGCCTACTTGCTGCTAGCCATGCTTTTCGCATGCAGCACGAATGTTCATGTTGCTGGCTCAACGAATGATCCGTCCCACCCTCCCATCCATGAATCAACGCGGTGCGTGAGAAAACCCCATGGTCAAAACCTGCCGTCCTGCAAGTACAAGCTGGGTGGTACACCGTGTTTGCATTTCTCTGGACGTACTCGTCGATATCTGCATCTGACACAACTGCTGGTCCAGGATACACCTGGGGAGACCAATCCAACATGCGGGCTCTGGCAGACATCCATCGCATGCGTAACACCCCATCCGCGTACGCAGTCACTTTTACCATTTAGAAGACATGTCACCCTCCAGACGCAAAACAGAGAGCAAGCAATCGAGAACCTCAGTTCACTGACAAGGGCACACATCAACGCAAAACTCAAGGACGGCATGACCCAGAATGGTCATGTGCTTGACTTAGCGGGACGGTGGCCGATTAGCACTAGCGGCAACACACTATATATATATATATATATATATATATACATACACCTATACGGCCACCCTGCAGGTGATAAGGAGGTTGGGGGGGAGGGGGGCCAGCAATGGGCAACAGTGGTGATTGTTGGTTGCCATCGATCCCATTTTCGATCCCACTATTGATCTCACTCGATCGATCTCAGTATCGATATCACTCGATCGATTTCACTGTCGATTTCACTCTGGATCTCGCTACCGATCCCACTAACGATCTCACAATCGATATCACTATTCGTCTCACTATCGATATAATTATTCATATCGCTATCGATTACACGATCGATCTCGGTATCGATCCCACTCGATCGATCCCACTATCGATCTCACCACCGATCTCACTATCGATATCGCGATCGGTCTCACTATAGATCCCACGATCGATCTCTGACTATAGATATCACAATCGATCTCACTGTCGGTCTCATTATCGATCTCACTATCGAGCTCCCTATCAATCTTACTGTCGATGTCACCACGGGACAACATGGGACACCACGGGACAACGACGGGACACTAACGGGACACCAGCGGAACACCGAGCGCCACCGGTTGCCGAGCGGAAAACCCTTTGGTCCGGCCGCGGCCCAGCCACGACGGGACACCGGCGCCAGCGGGACACCAGCGGGACACCGGCGGGACACCGCGCGCCACCGGTTGCCAGGCGGAGAACCTGTTGGTCCAGCCGCGGCCCAGCCACAGGAGAAGTTCCTCTCCCGTGCCCACTGAGATGCTCATAACTAAGTCCTGGTAGTTCAAAAGAAATTGTGGAAGTTGGGTTGAAGTTGTGGAAGATAGCTTGTCACTTTTTTGCTTGTATTTTTGGAAATTAACTTCCCCCTATCTTAAACCACTCTATCCCCTAACTTCCCCCTATCTTCAACCACTCTAGATCCTGTAAGTTTACAAGTTGCCGAAAAAAAGGCTGCGAATACAGATTTATTGTTTTGGTCAGCCGCGCTTTGCGATGCCAGCGCTTGCGCTCCAGCTCACTTCAATCAAGCGCGTTGCGCTGCAGTTTGCTTCAAACGTACCAAGCTCATTGCGCTCCAGTTTGAATTCAGTCATGCGCTTCGCGTCCCCTTCGTCTCCTCCTCCTTCTCCTCCTTGTCCTCCTTCGCCTTCTCCTCCTTCCAACGTACCAAGCTCCTCCTCCTCCTTCTCCTCCTCCTCCTCCTCCTCATCCTGCTTCTCCTCCTCCTCCTGGAGCCTGGAGCGTGAAGGTCTGTATTTCCTCCAGGATGCCGAGGAGGAGGAGGAACTCCCCCTCCCCCTCCCCCTCCTCCTCCTCCTCCTCCTCCTCCTCCCCCTCCTCCCCCTTCTCCTCCTCCTCGTCGTCCTCCTCGTCGTCGTCCTCCTCCTCCTCCTCCTCCTCCTCCTCCTCCTCCTCCTACGCCCCCCCTTATTCTCCAATGCGCCCTTAACGCCCCCCATTATCTTGCCAGACCTCTTCCTCCTGCTCCCTCCTCCCACCTCCTCCTCCCTTCTCCTCCTCCCCCCTCGTCTGTCTGCTTTTTCTTTCGACGACGACGTCGGCCTCATCTCCTCCGGAGGAGGACGAGGCAAAGATGAACGCCGAGGAGAAGGCATGTGGAGGGAGGAGGAGTGAGGGGGGAGGAGGGAGAAGGGAGGAGGGAGAAGGGAGGGAGCCAGGATGATGAGGAGGACGACGGGCAGGAGGAGCAGGAGCAGGAGCAGGAGGAGGAGGAAGAGGAGGAGGAGGAGGAGGAGGAGGAGGAGGAGGAGGATGAGGAGGGGGGGGAAGGAGGAGGAGGAGGGGGGGAGAAGAAGAGGAGGGAGGAGGCGAAGGAGGGATGAACAGGGAGGAGGAGGGAGAAGGGAGGATGAAGGAAGGAGAGAGGATGAGGAGGAGGAGGAGGAAGAGCAGCAGCAGCAGGCAGGAGGAGGAGGGGCAGGAGGAGGGGGGGAAGAGGGGAGGAGGAGGGGGGAGGAGGAGGGGAGGAGGAGGGAGGAGGGAGGGAGGAGGGGGGAGTTGGAGGAGGGGCATGAACAGGAGGAGGAGGGAGCAGGAGGGGGGAAGAGGAAGAGACGGCGGCGGCGCCAGCAGCGGCAGGAGGAGGAGGGCGCCGACAGCAGCACCGACGCCAAGCAGCACCGGAGGAGGAGGAGGAGGAGGAGGAAGAGGAGGAGGAGGAGGAGGAGGAGGAGGTCGACGCGGACCCAGAAGCCTGCAAGCCAGCTCGGACGCTTCCCCAAGACCGGTTGATCATCCCGAGTCCCTTTCTGGTCGCTCCCGCGGCCCGCGACCCGCCTCCAGGACGGGGCCTCCTGAAGCGACACGATTACGATTCACTATCCGCCTCGACTTTTCCGAGGCGCCAGATGCCTGCGTAGACCCTTTTCCTCCTACGGTAGGTTCGCGCGGCGTCGGCGCGCGCGAAGGTCTTTGACACCGCGTCGATCGATCAACCTTCTATCGATCGCGGCCCCGATCGTTCAAGGTTGAATTCCGTCGGGTCCAGTAGCGTTATCGTGTCCCTCGGTCCCTCCGCGTCGCTGGCGCGCCAAAGCCGAAGGAACCTACCGTACCCCTCCTCCCCCGACTCCTGCTGCTGTTCACTCTCCGCCTTGTCCGTGTGCTACACGAGTGTCCCCAGGCAAATTCACTTTGGTGACAAGCCCGCGAGCTGCTGATACTTTCAACGGTCGGGGGTCACTCCTGCGACGGGTCACTCTTGCGTCTGGCATTCGAGTCACAACTCGTGTCTGCGGCGGCCGTTCGGGACGAGTGGCGCACCCCCATAACCCAGAACGCTCTCGGCAAGGCGCGACTGCTGGAACGCACACCAAGGCTGGAACACGTCTGACCTCGAGCATCGATCTGGCGACGGGTCACTCTGGCGAAGGCCTGGACCAACGGTTACTGCGTCGCCGGATCACTCTTCAGTCCTACGTGCGGGAGGCCCAGACATCAGTTGAACATAAAACGGCATAAGCATAAACTTTCGGAGCTCCGCGCGGATTTCTTGGATCTGCGCTGGGCCCCCCTCCCTGGCCCGCGGAGAACGCCAGGGGCGGCGCTGGAGGCTCCGCCAGGGGGTCCCAGCGCAGATCCAAGAAACGCGCCCGACGCGTCGAAAGGTGATGTTTATGCCGTTCCTTCGCTGTCGAGACATATGCGATGCCTTAATTTTTTTCAATGCGAGGGCCCCTGGGAGCTCCGACCGTTCCCCCGGGACAAGCTCCTCGCCCCCCATCCGTTGTTTGACGGCCCCGAGGTCCAGCCGGGGCCGCCCCTGGCGCAGAACATCGCCAACAAAAACATCCCGCGGTGGTTTTTGGCACGACGGGGCACGACGACGACGACGACGACGACGACGACGACGACGACGACGACGGCTACGACGACGTACGACGACGACGACGACTACGACGACAACATACGACGACGGCGGCGGCGGCGACGAAAACGACGACGTACGACGACGACGACGACGACGACGACGACGACGACGACAACGATGACGACGAAGACGTACGACGACGACGACGACGACGACGACGACGACGACGACGACAACGATGACCACGACGGCGACGGCGACGGCGACGGCGACTCTGACGGCGACGACGACGACGACGTACGGCTACGACGACAACGATTACCACGACGACGACGACGACGACGACGACGACGACGACGACGACGTGCGGCACGAAACTCTGAACCGCTGAAAAGACGCCTCGGGCGATTTTTTCTTTCGCTTCCGCCGGCTCCTGCCGGCCTTCCCACAGCGAAGGCGGCCTCGCCTCACGTCCGCCGCTTCTCGGGTCGGGCGAAAGGGGGGGATAGCAAAGGGGGGTTTGAGAATCAGCTCGCGTAGCCTCCCGGCGCCGAGAGGCGCCCATGTATCGAGGAATGGGCCCGGCGGCGGGGCGGAAACCAGCTGCATGAAGCAGATTTCGTAACCCCCCCTTTCCCTATCCCCCCCTTTCGTTCGGCCCGAGCTTCCCGCCGGCCCTCCGCCCCAACCCGCTCCGCCGAGCAGGACCTGGCAGCTCCGTCGGCCCCCGAAGGCGAGGCCGCCTCTGGACCGCCGCACGCGAGCATGCCTCTGAGGGTGCTCCTCCTCGCCTCGTCGTCGTCGTCCTCCTCCTCCTCCTCCTCCTCCTCCTCCTCGTCGTCGTCGTCGTCGTAGTCCTCCTCGTCCTCCTCCTCCTCCTGCTCGTCCTCCTCCTCGTCGTCGTCGTCCTCCTCCTCCTCCTCCTCGGCCTCGAGGCCAGGAAGACCCGGTGGGGGCGGAGCGCCTCGCCTCCTCCTCCTCCTCCTCCTCGCCTCGTCGTCGTCGTCCTCCTCCTCCTCGGCCTCGAGGCCGGGCAGACCCGGTGGGGGGCGTAGCGCCTCCTCGCCGCCGCCCAGCCGCCTCAGCATCTCCCTCCCGATCTCCCGCACCAGGCGCACCCCGCGACGCAGCTGGGCGCGGTCCACCTCCGTCGGGGCGGGCGAGAACAAAAGAGAGAAGGAAGCACTGCAGGAGCAAAAGCTATTGGAGGGTCCGTGCGCCCTCGTCCTCAAGCACGCCAGCCCGACCGAAGAGCACCAGACCAGCACATCCACAGAAGGGAAGGAAACACTGCATGAACATAAGCTGTTGGAGGGTCCTCGAGCCCTCGTCCTCAAGCACGCCAGCCCGACCGAAGAGCACCACAGTACATCCGCAGCGAGATTCAGCAGCGTTGCAATTGAGTCGAAGGGAAGGCCCTTCCCTTTGATCCCTTCCCCGCGGAAGGGTGGGGTGGCGGGGGCCAGGGGGGGGGGGTCCCCGGGAGGGGGGTCCTGGGAAGGGAGTCCTGGGAGGGGAGTCCCGGGTCAGAATACCCGACCGCGGGCGTGTCGGAAGCGCCCTCTCCCTCTTAGTTCTGTCGAGGGCCGAAGCCTCGTGGGAAGAAAAAAAACAAAAAAAACATGTGGGAAACAAAAACACACACGTGGGAAAAACACACACACAACACAGAGTGGGAAAAACACACACACAGTGGGAACAAAAACAGGGTGTGTGTTTTCCCACAGTGCTTTTTTTTTTTGTTTCCCACAGGGTCGGCGGCACCGGCCGTAAGGCCTTAGCAGTAAGGAGGCAGCACTGCATGAACATACACTTTTGGAGGCCCGCGCGGATATCTCGGATCCGCCTTGGAAGCCCTCCCTGGCGCGCTCCGCGCGCCAAGGGCGGCGCCGGAGGCGCCGCCAGGGGGGCACAGGCGCCGACCCAAGACATTCTGGCGGACCTCAAAAGAAAGAGTGTTTATGCCGCCTGTTTTTTGGGAGATGAGGGGGAGATCTGCGCCTGCGTCGCTTCGCCTTCTGCTTCGCATGGGCTCCCGACAGCTTGACCGTATCCGATGTTAGCCCTTTTTTGCCACAGCGGCTCCAGCCCCATCAGCTCACAAGCCAGCTCGGACGCTTCGTCTGTAGCCACGCTATGAAGCAACGGCGCCGGCCACGTTGCCCCCCAATGGGGTGGCTTTACCCAGCTGGGCCTGGACTCATTTTGCGCAAGGGGTTCGATGGAAATGACGAGTGGCCCTCCATTTCGGTGGTGGCTAGATCCACTGACAGTATTAGTCAACATCGAATCGGGAGATCGGATCGAGTCGGAATGGGCGTCGGATCTAGCTGCGTCGGCACGGGCCAAAATCGGCGCCTGCACAACACCGCCATACGTGGATCTGACTGCAACCGGTTCGTCGGATCATCCGAACCGAATCGGATCGGGCCAGCCCGAAATCGACATAGAGTCGGATCGATCGGAACGAGATGGGCCACGGCACATCCCATCACAGGGAAGGACCACGCGTCGAGACGCTCCGTAGCCATTGTGGCTCTGGCCATGTTGGCTAAAGCCATTTTGGCTGAAATACCTCGTCTGCCGTCTCCCGCGGGGCGCTCGGGCGAGGGTGGCGGTCGGGCCCCTCCGTGGGGATGTGCGCGCGATGCTGGTGGCCCTCGGCCCGCTCGCGCAGGCGGCGGCGGCGGCTGGCGCTGCTGCTGGAGAAGGAAGTCGCCAGGTCGTGGCGGCGGCGGTTGCGGCGGCGATCCGCACTGGCGTGGAGGTGCTGACCGAGCCGGCCCCGCCGCCCCACATCGCGGACGGCGACAAGGTGCGCGAGTACGAGGAGGAGCAGGTCGCGGACCTCAGTGGCTCCGACGAGGTGCCCAAGGAGGTCGACGTGCGCCTCGGCATGGTGCGGCCCTTCCTCACGCGCAAGGCCGAGCAGAGGAACGTGACGTCGGGGCAGAAGGCGTACAGGAACGTGGCGCTGAAGGACGAGGAGGAGGAGGAGGAGGAGGAGGAGGAGGAGGAGGAGGAGGAGGAGGAGGAGGAGGAGGGGGAGGAGGAGGAGGAGGAGGAGGAGGAGGAGGAGGAGGAGGAGGAGGAGGATGGGCGCTGGGGTTGACACCCTCCCCAACACCGCGCTGGAGGCCAAGCGTCGCCAGCGTGGAGGGCGGCGCCGTTTGCGGGCCCTGGACAGGACCCAGTGCGAGTCGGAGGATATAGCAAGGCCATTGATCAAGGGCTCCCAGCTTCGCGCTTCGCGCTGCGCGAAGCGCGAAATGCGAATAACTTCGCGCTCTCGCGCCGCCTCCCAGGGAAGAAGAGGAGGATGAGGAATCGGAGCCGAAGCGCGAAGCGCGAATAACTTCGCGCCCTCGAGGGCGCCCTTGTTGATGAGGTGAAGAAGTCGACCGCGAGCACGAGCGGCCCCGTGGAGCTCATATGGATGTGGAGGCCTCTACGGCGGAGGCCCAGACGAGCGTGGGGACCGAGAAGAGGGGGAGGCCCAACCTGGTGGATTCCGGGGGTGCCCCCAGTGTCTCAGGTCGCGCACGCGGACATCTCGTCCCTGGCCCAGCACGGCCTGGCCCACGTCGTAACGGTCGCCAGGAAGTATGAGTTCAGGCAGCAGGCGGCCCACGTCGTGACGGTCGCCAGGAAGTATGAAGTCATGCAGCAGGCGGCCCAATACTCTGAGTACCTCAATAGTTCTGGGGTGCGCATTTGTCCGGGGGCGGCCCCTGTAGTCCGGGGGGGGGCCCTTGTAGTCTGGGGGTTCTTGTCGTCCGGGGGGGGGGGGCCTTGTAGTTCGGGGGGGGGCCCTTGTAGTCCTTGTAGTACGGCCTGGCCCACGTGGTGACGGTCGCCAGGAAGTGTGAGGTCATGCAACAGGCGGCCCTCGGCGTCCAGCAGGCCAAAACCGCCTTGGCGCAGGCGGAGGCCTGCCTCGACGCGGCCTCCGATGAAGCGGTAGACGATGTTTCGGGCATGGAGGAGGACGAACGCACTGCGCTGATTCATGGTGAAACTCGGCCTCCCGCCATAGAAGGCGGCCATGTCGTCAGTGCCGCGGAGGCTCGTGCCCTCCTACGACACTCCTGCTTCGGTGCGAAAGTTCGTGCTCCTCATGCGCCCCGCCTGGCGGGCGGAGGCTCGGGGATCTTCTGACCCGGGTCAATCCAGACCCGGGTCAGCAGGAAACCAAAAACTGCAGTGCAGGAAAAAGAAACTGCAACGCAGGTATTCGCAAACCCGGGTCAGCCAATATGTGCGGCCGCCTCGCGGCCACGAGCGGCTCGCTAACCCGGGTCAGCCAGAGGGGTCTTCGCAGGATCCTGCAGGATCTGGCGCCCTGGCTGACCCCCGTTTGCATTGACCCCCGTCTCAAAGCTCCCGAGAGGCTCGCCTTCCTCCGCCGCCGGGGCCTTTTCGCGCGGAGGCTCGTGTTCCTCCTGCGCCGCGATGATGTCGCGGAGGCTCGTGTTCCTCCTGCGGCAGGCGCCCTGGGGCTGCGGAGGCTCGTGTTCCTCCTGCGACCCTATGGGGCTGCAGAAAGCCCGCGGGAAAAATCGAGGCACGCTGTAGTTGTTCTACCCCGTTAGGCGCCGCATACGACGTAGGGGCCATGTCCGCGGATGGTGGTGCGCCTCTCGCGGCCGCCGTCCGCGCAAAACCACCAAAGCGGTTGCCGCTCCTGTCACGGGCGTGCTCGTCTGGCCGATGGCGGAGAGGCCGTGCCGCGGCCACGCTCCGAGAAGGGCCCGCCGGTGCGCAGGGAGCACCCGCTCCAGCTCCCGCCGACGACCCTGCCGTCCTGGTTGACACGCTGCGGGCAGCTCTCCGCGCTCAACGTGAGTCACTGCACCGACCCTGCAGACGTGGCGCAGCGGATTTTCGCGCTGATTTCTGTCAACGCAGAATCACGAAACGGCGGGTGAAAAACGAAGTGAACGTCGCGCGCTTTTTCCCAACCATCCTGTGGTGGCGGGTCCTCGTTTTGAAGAGACGGTCCCCGCGTTCTCCTCCTTCCTCCCTCCTCCCCCTCCCCCCTCCTCCTCCCTCCCTGCGCTACACCCACCCATTACAACGCTTCGTGGCCCCATAGAGAGCTCCACCGAAGCCCCCAGTGCCACCGTTCGCATGCGTCCCGGAACACCCAATTCTGCATTTCCACCCACCCAGTACAGCGCTTCGCGGCTCCATTGGGAGCTCCACCGCAGCCCCCACTGCCACCGTCCGTATGCCTCCCGAAACACCCAACTTGGCATTTTCACTCACACAGTAAAGCGTTTCGTGCTCCCATAGGGAGCTCCACCGAAGCCCCCACTGAAACCGTCCGCATGCGTCCCGAAACACCCAATTTGGCATTTTCACTCACCCAGTACAACGCTTCGTGGCCCCATAAGGAGCTCCACCCAAGCCCCCAGTGCCACCGTCCGCATGCGTCCCGAAACACCTCATCTGGCATTTTCACCCACCCAGTACAACGTTTCGCGGCCCCATAGGGAGCTCCACCGCAGCTCCCAGTGCCACCGCCCGCGTGCGTTCCGAAAACCAAAGTTGCCACTCTTCCCACCCAGTACAGCGCTTCGTGGCCTCATAAGGAGCTCCACCGAAGCCCCCAGTGTGACCGCCCGCATACAATGTTGCATTTTCACCCACCCAGTACAGCGCTTCGTGGCCCCATAGGGAGCTCCACCGAAGCCCCCAGTGGGACCGCCCGCATGCGTCCCAGACGCCCAATTTGGCAGTTTCACTCACCCAATACAGCGCTTCGTGGCCCCATGGAGCTCCACCGACGGCCCTAATGCTACCTCCCGTATGCGTTCCCCTCACCCAGTGCAGGAAATTCACCCCGAAATCCAGAACGAAATTCTCCAGGACACTCCGGGCCCATCATGTCGTTTTCCGAACGAGATCTGCTCTTCGATGTGGGCGCCATGAAACGTGCCCAGAAGGAGATAAGACGCCGCCAGGCCAAGCAGGCAACCTCCATGAACACGGACGTTCTTGCCGGCTAGGTTGACGGTAAGCTTCAGCGCTGCTGAGCCAACCATTGGTGGTGCGGCTGGCCGCGGCGCCGAGCCACGGGGTGACTCCTCAGAGCGGCCCATCCAGGCACCATCTGGTCCCCCTGCTGGCGATGCTCCACATGGCGTGCCAGCAGAAGGTCCGCTCGTTCGGCCAGAACCACTCGCCGATCAGTCGTTGACGCCATCAGGCACTATACCCCGTGGCTCGGGAATCTTGGGAGGCCATTCCGCCCGTACCCTCGGAAGGTCAGAGCTCGACGACACCGCTGTGGCGACCCGCGCAGACTTGGCAGGGAAGGGCGGCGCGGCGCCGTACACTGCCGCTGGGATTGCCTGCCCCTCCAGCTCGCCGGTCCATATGTGCACCAACATTTCAGTTGGGTGTCTTATACTGCGAGCAGTTGTTCACGCCGCTCCACGTGCCAATTGCAGTTCATCTTCTGAGAGGTGTTTGTTTTCCATCCTCTGCGGCCTCACGTTCGACCCGTCAGCTCTCCAGGAGCTGCGCTTGCTGCACCAAGCCTCAAGAAACAAGCAGCCCCTGTTCAGTGTCCCTTCGTGCGTCGAGAAGCGTGCCCGGCGGCGTGGGCGAAACCAGCTGCACGCAGCAGTATCGTACATCCCTCGGGAGCGGCCAAAAGGGGGGTGTCCAAGAGGGGGGGGTGCAAATCATGACTGGCGGCATGTGCGCGGCCCAGCGGGGGGACCAGGGACGTAATGAAATAATAAGAGGCGCCATGAAATTTGGGGAAATATCATGGCCCCCGCCATGACATCCACCCCCCCTAGTCATCACCCCCCTCTTTGCCGCCCCCGAAATCGGTAACATGGGCGGGAGAGATCATCACCCAAGCTGCCCAGGTCTCTTGCGGATAGAAGAGATCGCTAGCCCCGGGAACCGCCCAACGAGCGGCTCGGGATGCAACAGCGGTCCCAGCGGAAGGGGTCGGGAGATCCAGCAGATGTAGACTCTGACCAATCGGGATGTCGAAGGTGCGCCCCCACGCATACTACTGCACTGCCTCAGCTGCACGCCGATGCTTTTGAGTTTTGCTTACTTCGCAAAACACATTGTTCTCCTGGGGGAATACGCCTGAATATTGTTGCATACTGCGAGAGGATTGCAATAGGACCGCGACTGTCACCAATAAGGACGAACACATCAAGTGAATAGATCCGTTCAAACGGCTTGGCCCTACCTCACCTCCTGATCCCCCTCCTCCGTCCTGACGCTTCTTACCATCTCACGATCCCCCTTCCCCGCGACATCCTAGTCGCCGATCAACACCTTGTGTCACGTGTCATGATATTTTTGCTGTCGATCCTCCACTCCGCCACACCTTCCTCCTCGATTTTCAGATTGCCGATCCCAACCCCGCGTCGCACAAGCCGATACCACCCACGATAGCTATGTCTACATTGACCGTGCAGATCGCATGTGAACCTCGACTCAAGGCTGATTCGAGAGCGCTTTCTCGAGACTTGATCGACATGCCGAACGCCAAAATCACACGACTCGCGAGCACAGCTTGCAACAGTTTTGTCCGGGAAAGCCGGACCCGCCACCCCCCGAGACGCAGTCCGACATGGCCCCGATGCTGCCATACTTGTGAGGCAACGATCGGGGGGGATAGGCATAGGGGGCGATGCATCGACCTGGAATCGGCGGTATATCGTCGATAGATCGGCGATGGGCCTCCGATAGTGCATCCGCGCCTTCCTGGGCGGGGTGGGGCTATCGGGCCCGAATCGGCGATCAATGGTCGATGGGGGGTCGCTGCACCCCCCCCTGTCGGGGGCGCGCAAACATGGATCGCGGGAGGTGCCCTCCCCCAAATGCGGCCAGTGCCGCCTCGCTCGGCGGCGGAAATCCGTGATCTCCCATGAAAACGGGACCCGTCGCTAATCCACGCCCCCTTGATCTATGTTTGCGATCGCCTGGCTACGCCCATGCCCCCCCCTATCATTGCCCCTGAATGCTGCCCTTTCCACCCCTGTGGATGACGAACCAACAACACACACACCCATACCCATAGGGGGATCGGAGAGGGCAATGGGTGCGTGTTGTCGGATGGGGGTCCCCGCTCGAACGGGAGCGTTCCCCAGGGTCCGACAACCCGCACCCGTACCCATAGCCGGTCCTCCTCCCAACGACCCCCCTATGGGTATGGGTGCGTGCTGTCCCTTCTCGTCATGAGGAAGCCAGCGAGGCCGTGCAAGTGCTACCCCCCCCCCAACCCGGAAGGGGAGGCGGTGGGCGGACGGCGCCTCGCTCTGGAGGTAGTTGGCCACGATGCGAGGCTTCTCGAAGGGGTCGCCTGACGTTTGCGGGCGGCGTGCGTCCACGTGCTGCGCTCGGCGGCGCGATCCCGCCGGCACGCGGCTCGCACGGAGAGAGCAGGGGCCTGACCACAAGAAACCTTCCACAAGAGACCCAACTCCGAGGCCCCAGGGCGCCCCTTGTGGTTTTTGTGGTGCGAAGGTCACGCTCCCCATCGCAAGACCAGCGAAAAACCCAAGAGACCCCGGGCACCCTGGAGGCGAGCAGGGTGCTTCCTGGCATGGGCTTGGCGGCGCGCACAAGGGGGTGGAGGGAGGGGGGAGGGCTTCTCAGAAGGAGGCTGCGTCTCAGAAGGCGCCGGCCTTACATCCCATAGATGAGGCCCGCGCCTTCTAAGAAGCAGGGGCGCTTCGAAGAAGCCCTCCCCCCTCCCCTTCTGCGCGCGGCTGATGCACGTCGGGGTGCCCACTGCAGCCTCAGCATGGAGGAGCAAGTCAAGGTGTGCTAGCTTGCGCGGAGAATGGAGACAAGCGACTCCTGGAGCGCAAGCCGTCGAGGTCGGCCAAACACAAGCGGGGCCAGCTATGAGATATGGCCTGGCACAAGAGAGACAGAGAGGGCGAATCACATGTTTTTCCGACCCATCCTGTGGTTTTGGGTCCTCGTGTTGAAGAGACAGCGCCCCGCGTTCCTCACGTTTTCCTCCTCCCCCTCCTCCCCCTCCTCCTTGCGTTTCACCCACCCAATACATCGCTTCGTGGATCAATAGGGAGCCCACCGAAGCACCCAGTAGGACCTCCAGCATGCGTCCCGAAAACCCCATTTGGCAGTTTCACCCACCCAGTACAACTTTTCGTGGCCACATAGGGAGCTCCACCGAAGGCCCCAGTGCCACCGTCCGCATGCGTCCCACGCGCCCAATTTGGTATCTTCACCCACCCAATACAGCGTTGCGTAGCCCCATAAGGAGCTCCACCGAAGCCCCCGGTGGGACCGTCCGCATGCCTTCCGCAAACCTAATTTAACATTTGTACCCGCCCAATACATCGTTTCGTGGCCCCATAGGCAGCTACACCGAAACACCCAATGGGACCGCCCGCATGCGTCCCGAAAACCCAATGTGGCATTTCACCCGGCCAATACAACGCTTCGTGGCCCAATAGGAAGCTCCACCGAAGGCCCCAGTGCCACCGTCCGCGTCCCACGCACCCAATTTGGCATTTTCGCCCACCCAATACAGCGTTTCGTGGCCCCATAGGAACTCCACCGAAGGTCCCAAAGGGACCGCCCGCATACGCCTCGAACATACAATTTGGCATTTCCACACACACACAATATCGTTTCGTGGCCCCATAGAGAGCTCCGCGCATGCGTCCCGCACATCCCATTTGGCATTCTCACATATCCATACAGCGCTTCGTGGCCCCATAGGGAGCTCCACCGAAGCCCCCACTGGGACCGCCCGCGTGCGTCCGCATTCCCACCCACCCAGTACAACGTTTCGTCGCCCCATAAGGAGCTCCACCGAAGGCCCCAGTGCCACCGTCCGCATGCGTCCAACGCGCCCAATTCGGCACACCCTCAGACGCTTCATGGCCACATAAGGAGCTTCAAGATCCACCGAAAGTGCCAGTGCGACCGCCCGCATGCGTTTCCCCCACCCGATACAGCGTTTCTTGGCTCTGTAGGGAGCTCCACCGACGGCCCCAGTGCTACCGCTCGCATGCGCCCCCCCCACCTAGTACAGCGCTTCGCGGCCACATAGGAGCTCCACCGAAGGCCCTGGTGCTACAGACCGCATGCGTCCCCCCCACCCAGTACAGCGTTTCGTGGCCCCATAGGGAGCTCCAACGATGGCCCCAGGGCTACCGCCCTCATGCGTTCCCCCCCACCCAGTTCAGCACGTCATGGCCTCATAGGGAGCTTCACCGAAGAAGATATTCACAATTGCGGTACCCACAACTGCATATGGTTGGGTCCATCGCCAAGATACGTTGTGCCTCCATGGAAAACAGAAAAGCGAGACGGAGCTGAACAGGTAGCAAGCCTAATGAACTGGACCACCTTCTCCCAGAAGCTTCGGTATTCATGATTCAGCCTAATGAACCCGATCCCCCTGCCCTCAAAGAGGCTACCTCATACACCGGTCCGGGATACCCTCCGTCGGTCTGGGGACGGTGGGCGCGAAATTGAGCAGGGACCGACCGTCCCAGTATTCCTATAGGCCTACCACGACATGCCCCTAGAACAAAGGAACGTTTATAACATACAGCCGATGTATGAAAACAAGGCCGTCTCAGCCAGACATGTTCTAAGAACATCTCGTGCCTGCCAACAAAGATTATTGGACCATTCGCCAACATCTCGTGGCCTGTTGGCAAGCCAGGACGCCTCGCCACCGCTCGACAAAAGGGGGGGGAGGGGGGCAAGGGCGCCAGTGAGGGAAGGGAGCGGCGGAGGAATGGCGAGGGGAGGGGAGGGGAAGGCGAGCGGCGAAGGTGGGGAAAGGAGGGGGGGGAGGTGAAGGTGAGGAAGAGAGGAGGGTACCTCTGGCCCCCCTCGGCATCAATCTGAGGTCGGGCGTGTTCTCCTACAGGTGGATTTTGGACAAAAGATACAATATGGTCAAACAAAAATCATGCATGGCCAAGAATGGTTGAAAAATCGTCCCCAGGCTATTTTTTGAATAGTTTCTAATATCTCTCCTGTAGAGGGACACGCCCTACTTAAACTCAATCGTCGGCTTCCTCCAGCCGGTCCCAGCGAGGTGCTTTCGCCCACGCCACTCGGCCTCAGGTCGCACGCGTGTCGGCCGGCCTCGGGGGGGGGGGGGGAGGTCCAGAGGGGACCGGCCGGGAAGCTCGAAGCCTGGCCCGGCACATGGGGCTGGGGACCGCGGCGGTGGGGCAGGGGCTCGCCCCAGGGGCCCGAGGGGCGCAGCCTGGATCTCGCCGCGCCGCGGCGAGGCCACGGCGGCAGGCTTCGGGGCCGATCTCGGCCCCGGGGGCCCCGAGGACCAGGCCCATGGTGAAGGGGCCCTGGGACACACAAATAAATAGACACAAATAAAAAGATTCCCCATATTTTCCCATATTTATTGGATTTCTGTTTTCCCCCCCACTTCCCATATTTTCCCATATTTTCTGGGGAATCGACGATTAATTGTGTCTGTGTGTTTTTTCTCCTCCTGACATGGGGCCGTCCACGAACGGCTCGGGGCGAAGGCCCGCGCTGCGACAGACATGCGACGCCGGTGGGCCGGGCGGGTCTGGGCTGCGCAGGAGCCCATCGCCGAAGCGAGGCTCGGTGCCGCCAGCGGGCTCGGGAGCAGGCTCCCCACCGGAGGTCTCCCAAAGGGGGTCCAAGGAGTGTAGAGGTCGCCGGGAAAGCGAGCTGCCTCGCCGATGTGAATCGCCGACGCATCGGCGAAGCATCAACGACGTCCGCGTCGGCAACGTCGGCGCGGACAGAATCCGGCTCCACATCGAGCCGCATCGCCGATGCATCGCCGATGCGTTGCGATGCTCCGACCCCGTCGTCTACTCGGGCCTGAAATTGTTCGAATAGGGGATCGACTATAACATTGCATTACCCCAAGCTTGATTTTTCGTCGAATCCACTGGAACAAAAAAACGCATGCTGTTCGTAGATCTACGAACCTTCCACGTGCTTCTTCCGCGAAGTCTACGGACATTTACATTCTGAGGTAGGTCAATTCTGCAATCGATCCCGTTCTCGAATTCTGGGGGGCCTGGGCCCACTCCTTGCCGTCGCTTGGACGTCCATTTCCCGTGCATTTTTCGGTGTCGTGCGTGCTTTTTGTTGCTCGATGGTCCAGGATGGTCCTCCATGGTTCTCTCGCCGGGGAAAAGAATGTGCACACGTCCGAGCGATGCCAAGACTCTGCAGTCGATCCCCCCCTCGACTTCTGGGGGGGGCCTGGGCCCCCTCGACGTCCGCGCCCGCGGGCGCTGAGGGGTCTCCCCCCCTCCCCCGCGGGGGGTCGCCGCTCCGCAGCTCGAGCCGGCCCGCCGTCGCGGAGTGTATCAGCGTGGGCGTGAGGGTGAAGCCCTCTCCGGGTGTTGCCAGAAGTACCCCTGGCCCAGGGTACCCCCAGGATTCTCGGGGTGGCCCAGGCGGCCTCCAGGGCACCCCTCACGAGGCCCAGAGGGCCCCAGGGGCTCAGAGTTGGAGCGACAAGCTGGGGGCACCTTGGGCCAGGGGCACTTCTAGCAACACCCGACCTCTCCGGACGGGTAGAAGCCGTCGGGCTCGAAGAAGACGGTGCCCATGTGAACTTGCAGGTCGCAGGGGCCAGGGCCTCCCCCGAGGGAAGAGGCACATCGAGGGGGGGAGCGGAACCCGGTGAAGGGGGCCCAGGGACACACGAATTAAATAGGCACGGAAATCCCAGCTGTCCCCACATGTTCCACATTTTCCAGATGTTCGTCTGCCCCTCCACTCCAATGTTTTGCATATCTCCCGGGGCATCGACGAACATTTGTGTATGTGTTCTGTTTCCCCTCCTGACGATGTCCGATCTAAGCCTGGTCTGGACCGGATGTGGAATTCATGTCTGGGATCGGATTTGAACCAGATTCGCGCTTCACGTGGGAAGACGAGAAGAACGGGGAGGGGGAGGAGGAAGAGGGAGGCCGAGGAGCAGCAGGAGGAGCCAAATGCAGTAGGGGGAGGAGGAGGAGGAGGAGGAGGAGGAGGAGGAGGAGGAGGAGGAGGAGGAGGAGGAGGAGGAGGAGCAGGAGGAGGAGAAGGAGGAGGAGGAAGACAAGACAAGACCAATTGCGAGCCACAGTATCTGTACTATGGAAGATTACCCTGGGAAAAGGATGGGGAGGAGGAGGAGGAGGAGGAGGAGGAGGAGGAGGAGGAGGAGGAGGAGGGGGAGGAGGAGGGAGAGGGGGGAGGAATGGGCGGGGGGATGAAGAGGAGATGTCTGGGTAAAGCCAGCCTTGTTCGGGCTCCCGAGGCCCTTCCCGGGCCCTGGCCCCCGGGGAAAACGCCAAGGTCCAGGACCCGCTTCAGCCAAGATCCCATTCCCTCAGGCCTACCCGGTCGATCCTCTCCACCTCATCCCCTGCCATCGCTCGGACGTCCATGTCCTGTGTTGTTTTTCGGTTTCGTGCGCGGCTATTTCGCCAAATGATCGAGGATGCTCCTCGATGGTCCTCGCCGAAGGAAAAATGCACACGTCCGAGCGATGCCAAGATCCCTGAGGACTGTTTTTGTCATCCCGTGGGGGGCCGCGGATCTTTTTCTGATGGCCACGGGCCTGGCAGGAGGCCCAACAACTCTGCGCGATGTCTCGCGACGCTAGTTCCATCGATCCCCCGACACGGCCTGGGGTGGTTGCGTCCTGGTCAGAACCTCGAGGCGGATCCAGCCGTGACGACGAGGAGTTCCCCGAGGGTCCCCCCTCCCCACGCAGAAACGACAAACGCGAATAACCTCGATGCTTGAACCCGCGAGCCTCGTGAACGCCAGGCGGCTCGTGCCGTGACAAACCTGTGCGTTGGTTTCTGGCACTGCGTGGATGGTTGGGCCTCGAACGAGCGGCGGCTCTTCGATCGCCAGATCAATCCACAGCGGCCGGTATCAAACCACGGGCGGCGCCGAAACCTGCACGCCCGCGCTGGGGTCGCCACCGCGTCGACGCGGCACGCGCCCACCGCGGGAGCGAGGCGAGTCCCCGCCCCGCCCGCCGGGGGCCAGGCGCGTGAACAGGGAGCCCTCGCAGATGTTGGACTGCGGGTGCGGCCGCAGCCCCGAGGGCAGGCGGTAGGACATGGCCACGTGCAGGTGGTCCTGCAAGGGCGACGCAGGGGGAGACAAGCCCAGAAAGGGGGGCAGCGTCGAGCTCTGCTCGGCGATGCGTCGCCTATCCGCCACCGTGTTATTGTGCACGCTGAGGCGCGGAAGAACACCGAAGGTTACCCTGTAGGGCTTCTGTGTTCAAATCCAGCTGCCATCGGTTTGTCCCACCACCGTGCCAGCCCAGCATGTTCGAAGGGGCACGGGAGGCCGTCGCGCGCGACACCTCGTGACCCCAGGCTTGGCGGAGCCGTGCTGATGATAATGATGTCGATGCTGCTGATGATGGCGATGGTAATGACGAGGACGAAGGAGGAGGAGGAGGATAAGGAGGAGGAAGATACACATGAGAACAATGATGGGGAACGCCGTCACATGCGACACCTTTCGTCTTCACTTTTTGAATGGGCTCTCATTGAACTTCTTTGGGCCGTCTGGGGGCTATCTTGGCCTCCTGAAATTCAATATGCGGGGACCCCTGGGGTCATTTTTGGGCCCTCTTCGGCCGTCTTGGAACCCTCTTGGTCGTATTGGGGGTGTCAAGGGGGCCGTCGTGGCGCCGTCTTGGGTCGTCGAAAAAACTTCAAAGGCCGTAAAGGGTCCCTCTGGAAACCCTGTTGAGCCGTCAATTCAGGACGGCCCAGATGTACAACCACCTGTCGAACTATCGCGAGGGAACGGGAGAGAGAGAGAGAGAAAGATCGCCGGAAAACGTCCTGGACAGACGGCCCTATGAGAGCCCGGCGGGGGCGCCGGAGCGCCAGAAGGCTCATTCGTTGTAGTTGCCAGAGTGGAGGATGCGACGTACATAGTCCAAGAAGCCTTCTCCACGAACCTTCCACCATGGTAGGTTCTGGGCCAACACCAACCATTTGGAATCATTGTCGGTGCTGGCCACGTCATGTAGATAAGAAACAATGCCATTATGCCACAGCTTCTATTGTCCGCCATGTCGGCGAAAAGGCTATGCGCAGGTCGTGTGCGCATGGGTCCCAGCTTGCACTCAGTCGTGTCCACCTGTCGTGATCGTGGTTGGCCACGCGTGCTGCGAACTCCCATTTTCGCTTGGGACATACGTCGGTCCAATCGTCGACTCGTGCTCGTTTGGCATGTGCCAAATCGGTGGAGGTACTTCTCCGTACGAAATGAACCCAAGACTCAGATCTATCGTCGTTGTCTCCGTCGGTTGCTGTTGTCGGTGCTGGGAAGGGAGGGAAGGAGGAGGAGGAAAAGGAGGAGGAGGAGGAGGGTCAGAAGCGGAACGCGCAACCTGAACTACGAATTCGCGACAGGCAACTTCGCCAACGCAATTCATCATGTGGTCCGGTGCGCTGGGCGCGAATAATGGTTTCGCCCATTTTTGCCTCCGCCCTTCCACTGCTCTGGCGGGAATGTCCATGCAGGCCTCAGGCTGCCATGCTGGACAATGATACGGCGCAGCCCGTTGGATGACGTAGCCGTGCGAATCTTTCCGGATAGCAGAAGTGGACGCTTGGAAGTCGAGCTGCGTGGGGCTGCTCACTAGATTGTAACAGAACGATGTTGTGAATCAGCTGGGTGAAAAGAACACGCTGGGGCGCTGTGCAATATTCGTCGCAAACACCTACATTGAGCACGCATCAGTGATCTCCAGCTCTGCTTGCTTAATCCGTGAGCTCAACATATGTATTCGTTTGCTTGTTACGAGCGCTTGCGATATATCAATGTGCTGCGCGGTGCTGGTACCCGCGTGCTTCCAGGCATGTTCACATGTACAGAACTCGCCCCAAACTGCCACGAATCTCCTGCCCAATTATCCAGGCTCCTGCACGGGCGATTCCTAACAAAAAATGCACTTGATTTGATGGCGGCCAACCACCAAAACGTCATCAACATACAAACGACTTCGGAAACGCCTCTTCCGCAAACGCTTGCCGCACTGCAACATCTGCGTGGCGCGCAGCGTCCCGGATCACCAACGTCATTACCATGCAGAACAAGAGCGGGGGCGACGAGCAGCCTTGCGAAATTCCGGACGAGCGGTTCGTGTCTGAAGACCTTTCTCGTCCATCAGCGACACGAAATGTCCTGCCACCGTAGATGTGGCGATGATGGTCAGGATGCGGCCGGGGACCCCGAACTTTCGCAGAGCCTCCACCAGCGCGCCGGCGCAGATTGATCGGGAGCTTTCCCGACCCAGCGCGATGAAAGCTACGCTCCCACGTTTGCTTGCGTATGCCAAGGAGATATGGCGGCGAACAGTATGTAGCGCGTCGTCTGATGTCCCACATCCCTGGCGGAATCCATACTGTGCCTGTGTAAGTCCGCCCTCAGCCGCAGCGTCATAGAGCCGCTTCAGGATGAACGCCGCCATGAATCTGTTGGCCATGCATAACACACTGATTGGGCGATAGGTGTCGCAGTTGTCTGTTTGTTCCTCATAAATTTAAACAGTCGACCTATTCGTATATGTTCGCACGGCCTCTTCTTCCGAACGCATGCTGCATGAATCCGCAAACCATTCGAGCCCACCGAGATCTGTAGCAATTGCTTTCCAATGTTCTGACGGTCTCCCGCCCCTACCAGAAACAAAACCACATTCGATGATACGGTTTACCTTGCTCATATCTTGTGCTGTCGAAGTTGGCTCCAGTACAGGTAGTGGGCCTCCAATGGGGTCGGCGTGGGGCATGTCTGATACACGTACTGTCCATGGACATTTCCCAAACTGCTCAGGCATTGCGCCCGATGTGTGCGCGATGCCTACCAGTTCCCCGCTCATGTGTTTGAGCATTCCCTGCCGTCGTGGCTTGGACCAGCAGTGTTTTCTCAGATCGTCCCAACTTCCAGTCGATATTTGTGATATACCCGACTGGCGTGATCCTGCTCAGACGCCCTGCGGACTTCTTTCAAGGGCTTCTTCTCCTCGAAATTGTCGTTGACTGCTCATGCCTAGCTGCGCCGGGCGTTCAAATCAAGCGTCCGCTGCGTGATCAATGGTTTGGGCGTTTCTCGATGGTGGTTCGGCAGCGTGCTGGCAACGACGTGCACTGCTGTCCCCCCTGGGCCCCACATCTCCTCCAGCGTCGTCGGTTCCGCCGTCGATGATGACATCGGTTCCGGGAAAACGTTCTCGAAGCAATCGGATTTTGCACGTGCTCGGAGCACGCACGTACTCGAAAAAATAGGATATTGCACGTTCTCGAAGCAACTGGGTCGCATTCATGAATGAAAATCTGTTCCGCAAAAACTCAATGCAATCGAATATTGCTAGGCCTGTCTAGCTGGACGTCCTCTTTCATAAGGCGATTGGGTGATCCATTGTGTCGCATGTCCTGCAATTCTAGATCATGGTCCGTAGCGGGGGTTGCTTCTCGACGGCTTTCTTTCCAGCGCAGCGACGAGTGCTCGCAGAGGGGCTTCGCACAATACCAAGGGATGCCGCAGCTACCACGAATAAGATTTTCAGATCCAACGGCTGTTGCAGCAAACAGTAATCCACCTGAATACGCCCACTGGTGCAGCATTAGGACCTCAAATATTGGTTCGGTTGCTCTGCTTCGTGCTGCACTCGCCGTGCACATCACGCACATGCCAAGGTACTGTGCTATCCTGGCTCAGCCATGCCCACTCTGGCGTTGAAGTCGTACGACATGTTTTCCCCGCGTCTGAATTGCAAGACCAGTACCTCCAATTCAGCCTGGTGTAGACATTGCGGCGGTCGGGGGGTGGCTTCAAATAGTGCGGGACGCATATTGTGATAGTTGCGAAGATACCGGTGTGAATGTCAATCCACGCCAATATGTCCAATGATTTCGGCTTGCATGCCGTGACCAGGTGCGGGCATGTTGGTGCTATGACAAGATAAGCCCAACTCCTGGCCGGACTTGTTTGTCGGCATCTTCTCCAGAAAACATGACTTGATAATCGTTGTTGTCGAACACCTCCGTCTTCTCCCGTCCAGTCTTTTGCATTCTTAAGACATGAATACCAGACCTGCCCATGTGCAGAATAATCTCTTCCAGTCTCGTCTCTTTGAGGCCTCGGGCATTCCACGTCGCAGCTGTGAGTCGCGTCCCATCGAGGTTGGTAGGGGGATCATCCCAGAGGAGGCCTAAGAGAGTGCCAAGAGGGCCCCAAGATGGTCCAAGAACTTCCACGATGGCCCAGGAACTATTCGACACAGCCCCAAGACGGCCTCAAGAGAGACCCAATACGGCCTGAACAAGGCCCTTCGACGGCGCCACGACGGCCCCAAGGCACCTACCAGACAGCCAAGAGGGGCAGAAGACGGCCAACGAGAGCCCTCAGACGGCGTAAGGTGGCTCCAAACGGCCCAAGAGGGTCCCAAAATGAACTCCAAGCCTGCCTCACAGGAGGCCAAGACAGCCCGAAGACGACCCACACGCCCTCCTCCTCCTCCTCCTCCTCCTCCTCCTCCTCCTCCTCCTCCTCCTCCTCCTCCTCCTCCTCCTCCTCCTCCTCCCTCTTCTCCTCCTCCTCCCCCTCCTCCTCCTCCTCCTCCTCCTCCTCATCATCATCATCATCATCTCATCATCATCATCATCATCATCATCATCATCATCATCATCATCATCACCACCACCACGATCATCATCATCATCAGCATCATCAACATCATCATCATCATCCTCATCATCATCATCATCTTCATCATCATCAATGACACCATCATCATCATCAGCATCATCATCATCATCATCATCACCATCGTCATCAACATCAGCATCATCATCATCATAATCAACATCGTCATCATCATCGACAGCATCATCATCAGTATCATCATCGTCATCAGTAGCAGCATCCTCATCACCATCACCATCATCCTCATCATCACCATCCTCATCATCATCATCATCATCATCATCATCATCATCACCATCACCATCATCCTCATCATCACCATCATCCTCCTCATCATCATCATCACTACCACCACCATCTTCATAATCATCCTCATGCTCCGTCTCCTC